GGACAAGAACAGATATATGCACACCCATGTGCATCACAACACTATTTACAATAGCAAAAAGATGGAAACAACCAAGGTCCCATCAACAGATGAATGGATAACCAAACTATGCTACATACAAACAATGGAATACTATGGAACCCTGAAGAATAATTTAGAATCTGCAAAACACCACATAACGTGGATGAACTTGGAGGATGTTATGCTCAGTGAAATAAGTCACAGATGGATAAATATTGTATTAGTCTGTTATTGTAAAAAGCCAAGAAAAGTTTTATATATGGAAGGAAATTTTCTTTGTTGGTTACCAGGGGTGAGAGGGGAAGGGGGTGAACACTGTTAGATCAGTAGAGACAAGTACTGATTTGGGTGAAGAGAAGGGCAATGTACCAAATGTGAGTGATCACCATGGTGGCATTGAGGAAGATGAAGACACAGAGAGGTGCATGGGAGGTATAGACAACAAAGATGAACCCTTTTGCAAATATAGTACTGCGTTGTCAGTGAAGGCAAACATTGATCTATGGGTGGATAGATGGGTGGACAGGCTGAATATTAGGTATGTCTATGCAGGAGGGAGTGTGCCCATGATCATGTGTGGGGTTGGCACACGTGTTTCTATGAATATATTTGTATGTTCTGTAAGAATGTCCATGTATATAGTAGAGCTGACAAGGGATAAGGTTGTATTCACTTCTTGGCCATAGCCAGCTATCCAGAGGGAATGAGTAGTTGGACCTGTGGGCTTGGGACCACAGTCGCAGGGGACATCAAGCTCAATTAGCATAACATACTACACAAAAACATTGTTCCCCATCCTAATTTGGCGAGTAGCAACTGGGATCTTAAAAGCTTGCAAGTGGCCATCTAGCTGCAACGATGGGTCTCTCCTCATCCAGAGCAAAGAAGAATGAAGACAACCAAAGACACATGGAAACAATTAGTCCAAGCAACTGGTACGCCATGCAGTCCTCAGCCTATATGACTATGAGAACAGAAGAACAAGTTGATGCCTGGCGATCACTGTCAACCACTCAGAGGGGCATCTATGTAGGAGATTCTGGATGGACTGCGAGAGCGGTGTGGAACAAAATTCAAAATCATAAAAATAAATAAATAAATAAGGGACCAAGTTTGCTGGTCTGATTGATAGAGCCTGGTGGAACCCCTGAGTCTATGGCCCCCAGCTGCCCTTAAGGTCTGGAACTGAACCCACTCCTGTGGCTTCCAGCCAAACAAAAGACAGGCATATGAGTTGAATATTTACATGAGGTAGATACACTCCTTGGAGAGATCAATCATGGGAGAATAGAAAGGCTGTGTATGCACAGGGAGACAGCTTGGGGGTGGAGGGGTGGGAGTGCTTGGGTAGGAAGGACACAGGGAAGAGGTGGCTATGGGGAGGGGAGCTGTTGCATTGTGGGAAATTGCAGTCAATGTCATGAGACAAAGTCTATGTGAGCTGCTGTATGGAAAGCAAATTTGCTCTGTAAACTTTCACCCAAATCACAATTGAAAAAAAAAAAAAAAAGGAAACCATGAGTGACATGATCCGAGAAGAGCCATCATAGTGGAGTGGAGACAGAAGCCACATTAGAAATGGTCAAGGGAAGGGGAAAATGACAGATGAGAGAGTCAAAATGTCACTCATTGGAGAGATTTTTCTGAGCAACACATCAGAAAAGGGAGGTTTTTATTTTTTAAGATGGAAGAGGCAGTGTGTTTTTAGAATGCTGGGAATTGTTAATTAATCAGTAAGAAGAGAGAATTCATAAGAGAGATGGGTGATAACTGAGAAGGAGAGAAGGAATGGGGTCCAGAACTCCTGAGTAGGGACACTTCTATTATCTTGGGACAAATACAGACATGTTCTGTGCAGATATATCCATGGAGAGTCTTGGTGGTGAGGATAAGGGCATTCTTCTCCAAAAGGCTTTTATTTTCATAGTTCAGTATTAGGGCAAGATCAGATCAAGATCAGCTGAGAATGGGGGTGAATGGGGTTAAGTTGGGGGGAGAGGAAGTAAGAAGATGGAGGAGAAAGGAAAAGGCATGAAACAGTCATTTGAAGTGTAGGAAACCATGTAACCTAGGTAACTTGGATTTTATTAAATATAGCAGGTTTTGGGGCCATGTTGAGTATCCATTTGAGGTTTGTGGTCACAGTACTTCACAATAAAACTAATCAGTTGGGTTATGGGATTTTTCTCCAGTCATAGCCACAGCTCAGGTACAGGCATCGTGGAAGGGGACATTTGTGTTCAACTCTAAAGTTGCGTTTTTCAAGCACAAAATGCAAAGGGGCATGGAGAACGGTGGTTGAGCTTATTTTCAATGCAAAATAATACTTAGGAGCCGTGAAATCTAGGTTAGGTAAACAGGGAAGATAGAGTTGGTAGAGGAGAGGGACAAACAGACCTCAAGAAAGTGTGAGGTTGGTGGCTGTGGTTAGGCAACTGTGAGTTGACCAGCATGATAGGTTCAAGAAGGAGGGAGCAGAGGAGCACACACCTGCCCTACAGGCCCAAGTTGTGGAGAAAACCTGGCTACTTTGGCTGTTTAGGGCTTTAAGCTTCATGCAAACAGAACAGAAGTAGTATATAAACCTTACGACACCAAACTTTTCTCTCCCCAAGTGTAAAAAAATATTCACATTCTATTAGGAAGCTAACTTTGGACCCTCCCAAGACAGGAAGTACAGAATCTTGATTGCTCAATGCTTGTACATGGATATCTTACACTGACCATTAGCTTAGGTGCCTGGCTTTTGTCTTCATTTGCCTCTGTCATCATGTCATTCTAAACATTGAACTTGATTCCTATCTTTTAAAGTTTCCAGGTTATGAATAAAGAACTCTGCAAGCCCACCTCTGCCCTTCTCTTCCATGGGATGGTGAAGATATCATCACCCCAGGCAGATGTCATTGGCCAGTTGTCCATGGCACAAATGTGTCCCAGGATATGTTTTGTTTAACTTTTATAATTAAAAAAAATCCAGTTGGTAGCTAATATTAAAAATATTTACATAAACTTTGTATTTGTGGTTTCTAATGAAAAATCAGAAACTGACCATAATGGACAAGGCTGTATCTTTGGCTACTCAAAGGAGCACAAGTCACAATGATTTCCATATAAGTGCCCCCCCCCCCCCGCCAGCCGAGTGGTACATGACACTGGGTTCACTGAGGCTGGACTGAGTATCTGCTGCCCTGCCTAGACAGGGCAAATATCTGATGCCAACATCTCCTCCTTGGCCACCTTCATTTAATTGCCTGCCTGGTTGCTGTAGGTTTTTGAGTTTACCATCTCTAAGAAGGCTGGCGGTTCAAACCCACCAGCCACTCCTCGGAAGGAAGGTTGGGCAATCCTACTTCCGTAGTGATACTGCCTCGGAAACCCAAGGAGGGGTCGCTATGAGTCGGGGCTGACTTGATGGCAAATAACAACAACAACAACATCTCTAAGCTGAGTTAGCATTGTGCCTAAGGCACTTGACTGCTAACCAGAAGGCTGGCGGTTCAAACCCACCAGCCACTCCTCGGAAGGAAGGTTGGGCATTCCTACTTCCGTAGTGATACTGCCTCGGAAACCCAAGGAGGGGTCGCTATGAGTCGGGGCTGACTTGATGGCAAATAACAACAACAACAAGCTGAGTTAAGCCAAGTCCAGGGCTCAATACTGTTTTACTGGCCCCCACAATAGCACCCCAAGCAGACTTTCCAACCCAGCATCTCACTTGTGCCCTGAACCAGTTGGCAACACTTGTTATAACTGGCCTACTGGAATTTAGGGAGGTTGCTGGGCACACTCCTTCATTTGGTCATTTCTCTCTGAAACTAGACACTGGGCTCCCACTTGTCAGTGAGAGAGTACTGAGAAGAAGCTTCCTGCACTAATTAACCATGCCATTTCTTCAGGGCTCCTGTGCACTCCCAACAGACAGCAAGGCAGCAAACTTCTTCCAGATTGCTCGGGCCTTGGGAGACCCAGTGACCACAGGGTCTCCTTCTGGTAATCTGACAAATCAGGTAAATGCAGTTCTTATAAGAGCAGGTGGCCTGTTGCACAAGTAACTTGAATAGGGGAGCCCCTCCTGTTGCTGAGTTTGGAGAACAGCAGCATGTATGGCTAGTAGGAGTTAGTTTTTGGGTCTCTGAGACATTTTGGGCTGTGATTTGAGGTTCTAGGGCATTAGAGGTGGCCTCCTTGTGGTGGGAAGGTCTTGGGACTCTGCAATGAGACAACTGGGATTTGACTTCCAGCTCTGCCATTTGCTCAGCAGTCATGAGACTCTGGGGTCATCAGTTAGCCTTTCAGTGTCTCAGTTATTCTCCTCAATCCATGGGACTACTAAAAGCAACTGGCTTGTAGAGTTGCTGTGAGCACAAAATGAGGTGATTTATATTAAGAATTTTTTGATGGAGTTTCTGGATGGTACCAATGGTTAACACTCACCTACTTACCCACCATTTGGGTTCAAATATACCCAACGGCCCCTCAGAAGAAAAGCCTGGTGATCTACTTCTGAAAAGTCAGCAGTTGAAAACTCTGTGGAGCACAGTTCTACTTGGACACACATGGGGTCGCCATGAGTCTGGGTTGACTCAACAGCAACTGGTTTACCAGTATGTTAAATATTTAGTTAAATATTTAGCACTACGCCTGACACATTCTAAGTGCAATAGTATTAGCTGCTATTATTACCATTGTTATTATTACTTAATAAGAGAACAAGAAACATAATTGGGAGTCCCTTCTTTGTGTAGAAGAGGGACTGAAATGCAAAAAGGAGAAGGCATGTTCCACTGGAGTCAGTGAAGTGCTGGGACCAGAGCCCAAGGCCCCAGACTCCAGGCACCATACCCAGCCTCCTTTCCACATGGACAGCAGAGGAAGACGGAGCTGGCTGGTAGAGCTCCCTGCAGATGGTGTCTGCTCTCAAGAGTGGGCTTCCTCGGTCTGGGTGGGACTTGCCCCAATTTACCAAGAGAAAACATTACCAATCGGAAGGTCCGCAGCACAGACAGGCTTCCCTTCTTGGCAAAGCCCAGCTCCGTTAGGCTCACAGTGACGATGATGCAGTCAAAGATATTCCACTTCTTCTGGAAGTAATAGTAAGGATCGAAGGCAATGATTTTGAAGACCATTTCAGCAGTAAAAAATACAGTAAAAACCTACAGATGGAAAGATGGTTTCATCACAGTGGTATCTGTTAGGTCAGGAAACCAAAAGAAAACAAAAAACAAAACACAAAAAAAACAAGCTCACTGCTGTCAAGTTGATCTGACTCATAACGACCCCTCCTTGGGTTTCCGAGGCGGAGGTGGTTATCACTAGGAAGTAGATTGCCCAAGCTTCCCTCTGAGGAGTGGAGGGTGGCTGCCACCCTTCTGGTTAGCAGTCAAATGCCTTAGGCACCACGCCACCAGGGCAGTAGGAAAATGTCTTGTTTTTAAAATAGCAAATCCTCTTATCTTGTTTTTGTTGACCATCTATGTTAACTGCGGGTTCCTGAAGAGTGGGTGTGGGGGGTGGGAACACTCAATGTGGCAGCATAGAGAAATCTCTGGACCAGTGCTCAGGGAATGAGCATTGGAACCCAGGCTTCAGCCTTCCCATATGAAATGTTGAGTGGAGTGAGTGGGAGCAATCATTAGGAGAGTTATTGTTATATAATCATGTAAATGAGAATCTAGTCTGGCTCAGTTAAAAAGCATGGATTTGGGGGCTACACAAACCCAGATAAAAATCCCAACTCAGCCCTAGCTTGTGTGACCTTGGACAAGTAACCCATTCTTTCTAGAACTCAATTTCATCATCTATATAATAGGCGTAAAATGAGATAATGGACTTTTTAGCAAAGAGCCTGGCAGATAGGAGTTCATTGATAAATAATAGTTATTAGCAAGAACAATAATAGTATATTTTCTCTAAGGTTCTTTTTAAGGAGTTCCTGGATGGTGCTAATGTTTAAGTGATCAACTACTAGCTGAAAAGTAGCAAAAAGTGCCTTGGAACACAGGCCTGGCAATTGGCTTTTGAATGATCATAGCCCTGAAAACCCTGTGGGCCAGTTCTGCTTTGCACACATAGGGTTGCAGTGAATTGGAATTGACTTAATGGCAACTGGCAACAACAATAAGGTTCTTTTCAGCTCTGAGTGTCTTTAAGTCAATTGTCTTAAACAGGACAGAATTCTGAGGTTAAGAGAAATAAGAGCCAGCCCCAGGTCATAAAACCAATAGCAGGGAATGGAGACTGGTAAGGAAGAAAGCAAAGACTAAGATCACGTGGTTTTTTTCTCACATGATGTTATCAAAGTTTCTCTCCAGCTTATGAAACAGGCAATTGCAGGCTGAGAAATAGGTGACTTCGCCATGCCACATGACTGCAACTGTGAAATTCAGAGAGCATCTTTAGAGGGTGCTCTGAAGGAAAATGGATGTGGTGGGGGTAGGGTTGGGGTGCTGTGCCCAAGAGAGACCTGGGTCAACTCTGGTTCCACCCTCACCAGCTGTGCAACCTTGGGTAGGTTTTTTAACTTCTCTGAACCTTCTGTTTGTTCTCTCTTGTGAAGTGAAAGTGATGATAATATCACAGTGTTGTGACACTTCAATGAGATAGCATTTATAAAGCTCCTGACTCATCGTGGGTACAACAAATGCCTTTCTTTTTAAAAAATGGCACTGTGCTCTGCCACAGTGGAAAAAGGCTTTATCTCTCTCTAGCCTGAACTTCTCCAACTGTAAAATGATGGTATAGGCTCAAAGGTCTCTTCCATAAGATCTGCCGTGGTCTTATACTGACTTCTTGGAAATAAACGTCCCCCTCTTGTTCCAGTTCCCTTTTCATAGTATCTTTAAACAGAATGTGACTTCTTAGCCTATGTGCTGCCAAAAGTTAAGGCATACTGATTCCGCAGAGTCCAGAACCTACTGGATTTTCTTTCATGTCTCTTTCATTATGGGAGGGATGAGAGGGTTCTAGGGAAGATTATCACATTTTTGTCTAGGATTCTCCTATCTACCTAAGTCTGCAGTATGGTGTCAGAAGAGCTGGATGTTCCTGGTAGGCCTGGTAGGCCACCTTCAGTGGGGTGGACACTGGTGTGGATATGGAGGCAAGGCCCTGACCTTTCCTAGCTACTGTTTATCATGTACACATGCACGCACACATGTACACACACATTCACACACTCAAACATACATGTGCACAATCATGCATAATCACACACTCACACATATGCACATGTATACTAACATGCACACTCTCAAGTACACTCACAGACCATAGTAGTAGGTCCTGTGAGGTGGCTAAGCTCACAGTTAAAAAGTATAGGCTCTGGAGCCAGTCTGCCTGGGTTCAAATCCCAACTCTGCCACTTACTCACCTTTATGACTTTGGACATTATTTAACTTCTTGTGTCAAAGTCTTTCCATCTGTGAAAAAGGATTATAACAGTATTGACCACATAGGGCTGTTGTGAAGATAAAATGATAAAATCCAGGCGAAGCAACTGAAACAATGTCCAGCCTAGAGTAAATGTCCAAATAAAGCTGGCTATAACTCTGGTAGTGTAGTGCCTAAGGCACTTGACTGCTAACCAGAAGGCTGGCAGTTCAAACCCTCCAGCCACTCCTTGGAAGGAAGGTTGGGCAATATATTTCTGTAGTGATACTGCCTCGGAAACCCAAGGAGGGATCGCTATGAGTTGGGTCCAACTTGACAGACATATAACAACAACAACAACAACAACATAATTATTATAGCATAATAATAGTGGGGCAGAGGTTACAGGCAGTTACTCTTCTGCTGAGTTGGATACTTCACTTATCATGTAGCAAAATCTAGTATGGATTTTATATTGCTGAAAGCAAATAATACTGGAGTCCCAAAATGGTGGCCACCTTGAAGAAAGCGGCTGCAGGAGATGCCAATGTTACTTTTGAAGACCAACAAAAGATACACAAATTTGCATGGAATGCAAGTAGAATCACAGAGCTAAAGGAAGAAATAGAAGTAAAAAGAAACAGCTCCCAAATTTAGAAGATGCTTATGATGACATCATTCTGGCAAATGACAACTGCTTAATGATACTGTATCAAGTTCGTGATGTTTTCATTCTCAAGAGGAAATATAGGAAATGTTAGAAGAAGCAAAGAAAAATTTGCAAGAAGAAATCTATGACTTAGAATCCAGAGTGGAATCCGTTCAGCGGCTATTAGCAGTTTTGAAAGTTCAATTACATGCAACATTTGGGAGCAACATAAACCTAGAAGTTGATGAAAGTTAAAAATTTTATAATACTTTTTGAAATTATTTACTAAACTTGAATGTTGTTTAAAAGGAAAAAAGCAATACTAAAAAGCAGTGGAGAAAATTGTAAAGTAGCGTCATGTCTAAACCAGATGCAAAAGAAAAATTCTGACTCCATGATGCTTTTGCTATATAAGCAAACATATTACCACAGTCCCTCTCTGCCTCCTACTCTCTTTCCCTTCCCTTCTCTTCCTTTTCCCCAGCTCTTTCCCCAGCTACCCCAAAATTACAGCAGTGAAAAGTCACAGACTCTCTTTCTTGCAGTCATAAAAAGGTGAGTAATAGAACTGGAAGGAACCTTACAAGTTCATAAATTATGTTTAATTGAGAAACTGTCATTAATCATCATTTCTTGGGAAAGGCAATTGTAGTCCAGAGTACTCAAGAGGGAACTAGCTGCACCTAGCTCGGGGCTCTGCCCACTCTCCTGTGCTCATTCATTCTAACACAATTCCCATCAGCTCTCACTAGTCCTCCAGGTTTGACTTCCTTCACTCAGTGTCCACACATCTCTTACACTGCTTCTCTGTTCTCAGCTGACTAAATCAGTGCTCAAATGAATGAAAGCATGCTCCCCGCCCACCCAGAAGCTCTCTGGCTGTCCAATGCTGGCAGTGCCAGACTGTACTCACAATGTTGCCTGTCTGTAGCATGGTTTCAAAGGTGTAGCTCATGCCGTGGTACTCCATGGCCATGAAGACAGTGTTCACCACAATGCACAACGTGATGGTGAGCTCCGCAAAGGGGTCTGTCACAATCCCAAACAGATGCATCTTGAGCTTCACCCATGTGGGGCAGCACTCCCAGATCAGATACTTCTGAGCCAAGTTAGTGAAACAGGTTGGGCACCTCTTTTCAGACTCTTCAAGTTCTGCATCACAAGTGTGGTCAATAACAGCTGTCAGTCATTCATCACCTTGGGTCTTCACCCCATGGTTACCCCTTAGACCTTGTCATTATTAATGCCCACCATCTCCAGCATCTCGTTTCAGTCCTTCCTCTCTATGAAGACTATTTCCCACTTTTTGAACTTCTTACCTCTAGCAACTTCAATCCAATCTCTGTCCCCATCCAGGCCTCCGAACCATTGACCCTACACTTTTTTTTTTTTTTTAACTGCCCATCAGCTATGTTGTGCCCTTACTTCTTAACTTACCCCACTTAGATTTTCATGTGCGTCCCTCTAACTATGCTCTTGCCAAAAAAACAAAAACAAAACAACAAAGAAACTCAAAACCAAACTCACTGCTTTGGAGTCGGACCTGACTCATAGCAACTCCTCCTTGGGTTTCTGAGGTGGTATCACTATGGAAGTAGATGCTTAACTCCCTTGCCTCTCTCCCTCTCCACTGTGCTTGCCTGGCAAAACCTCAACCCTGATTAAAGCCAGCTTACAGCCTATCTGTGCCGGCACCTAAGCAGTTGAACCTGACTGGAGAGAAGTACACAACCATGCTGACTAGTCCTACTATAGACCATGATGTACAGTCTGTCATTGCCCAAAAATCTGGCCATGTTTCTGTATTTAGTCCCAGCCTTCACTCTTCCAGACTACCATTTCTCATTTCCTCCTCTCTCCTCCAATCTCCAAATCCTCCTCTCATCTCCTTCCTCTCAACTGGTGAGCTCATTTTTATTTCACTCAGTATATAGAATCACTCTCAAAAAGACCTTCTTCATCTTCCTATCACTAAGTCTGCAGCATATCTGCATGCAAATCTATCCCTGTATTCTGCCCTCATGTCCATCATAGTGCATAAGCTTGCTGAACTCCTTCTATTTGTATATGCATCCCTTCCTTTCTCACATATTCAAAGCCTGTGTTTTCCCCCTTCTCTCCTTTCCGTGTCCAGTAGCATGGAAGCATGCTTTGATTATATCTCAACTTTTTAAAAAGGCTTTCTGGATCCCATGTTCTTCTCCAACTTCTGTCCCATTAACAGCAAAATTCCTTATAAAATTTTTCTACACCTACCTTCTCTACTTTCTTACCTCCTGTATTCTCCTCAACCCCTGGAATCAGGCTTTTACCCTGCTGAATTTAAATAGTCAATTTCCAGTCCTCACTTTACTCTGCCACTCACAGCATTTGACAGACTTTATTATGCTGTCCTAGAAAAGCTTTCCTCATTTGCCTTGCAGGACACCACAATCTCCCGATCTCCGGCACTAGTGACTGCTACTTCTTAGTTTCTGTTTCTGGCTTCTTCTTCCTTTCCTGCCTCCAAACTCAAGCATTCTCTCTTTGGTGTTTCTTTCTCCCTTACAACCCCCATCTAGGTAATCTCATTGAGCACCATGGCCTTAAAAACGATCTTTATGCTAGTTTTCAATGCCCAGTTTTGGATCTCTCCCTCAAACATAGGCTCATTTCTCCAGCTGCTTCCATTAAGTCTCCGTATGGATCTGTCATTGGAGCCATCTCTATGGGGGGCAATTTCATAACTTTAGGTCTATCTATACATTTTACTGCAAGACATGTGCCTTATACCTGCCCATATGAACAAAGAAAGAAGATGGCCACTGTTTATAATAAAAGAAAGTAAACAACTGGTAAAGCATATTATGAAAAAGAACGAGGCAGATTTATTTGTACTAATATAGAAAATTCTTTATAGCTCTGGTGGCATAGTGCCTAAGACATTTGACTGCTAACCAGAAGGCTGGAGGTTCAAACCCACTAGCTACACCTCAGAAGGAAGGTTGGGCAAACTACTTCTGTAGTTATACTGCCTTGGAAACCCAAGGAGGGTCACTATGAGTCAGATCCGACTCGAGGGCAGTGAGTTATATGTGTTTGTGTGTGTATGTTTATATATGCATAGAATATTGCTGGAAGAATAGAAAAGAAACTGAGGTTCACCAAGAAATTGGGGGCAGGAGGGTCTTTAGTGAAAAGAAGATATTGTTTTCATTGTACACACATTTGTGGTATTCGGATTTTTTGTACTATATGCATTTTTATTAATATAAATAAGTTAACATAAAAAACGCAAGCCTCCAAATGTTGCTAACAATGTTTTTTTCCTACATGGGTAACTCAGAGATTTGCATGTAGTCGGGTTTATGTCTTTTTTCTTCTGTCTTCTTGTTTTTATGCCTTGCACATGAAGCCTTTCTTAAAGCAGAGCTTGAAAAAGAGCTATCTATATTTTCTTCTCTAGTTTCACTTTTTTAATTTAAAGTTTTGGTGTATCTGGAGTTTATTTTGGGTAAGGAGTAAGATACTGATCTAGCTTACTTTGTTCCAATTTCTGGTCATGTACTCCTACACTACTTATTGGATCATAACTCCTTCTGCATGGATGTCATTTTGATCATATACTACATTTTCTTATACACATGTGTCTACTTCTGGACTCTCTATTTTCTTCATCTGTCTAACTATGTATTTTCACTATCATACTGCTTTAATTACTTACTCTGTATTTGTAATCTTCAAAATAGTTTGTGAAATAAAGCCAAAGTTGACAACAGAGAAAAACATTTACAATTCATGTTGTTGTTGTTGTTGTTTGCCGTCGAGTCGGACCCGACTCATAGCTACCCCTCCTTGGGTTTCCAAGGCAGTATCACTATGGAAGTAGATTGCCCCATCTTCCTTCTGAGGAGTGGCTGGTGGGTTTGAACCACCAGCCTTCTGGTTAGCAGTCAAGTGTCTTAGGCACTATGCTATCACAGACAACATGCTGTTTTTTTTTTTTTTTTTTAATATAGAAGAGCTCGTAAAAATTGATAAGGAAAAAAACTCATTAGAAAAATTGTTAGATAGTTCCAGAAAAGAAAAGTTTAAATGGCTTGTAAATATTTGAAAAGATGTTCAACAATGCTTGAAATTAGAGACATGCAAAATGAAATTACTGAAATATTTTCACCAATCAGATGTGCAAAGTCAAATCCGTGTGACCATCATGTTTGGGAGGATGTGGGTAAAAAGGCAGGCTCATCCAATGCTTGGGTGGGTGAAAATTGGTTCTACATTTATAGAGGGAAATATTTGAAATAAATCTTTCAAAATTAAGAATACATATCCCCTCTGACAAAGCAATTTCACTTATTTACTTTATAAACTCCCACATATAAAAAGTGATTTATCTATGATGTTATTGATTACAAAGTTTACTTCTCGTCATGAGGGGACTGGTTCAATAAATGATGGTACCACCATATAAGGCAATACTAATAGCTGATAGAAAGAATAAAGGCAGCTCTAAAAGAAACTGATGTAGAATGCTTTAGAACATATATTAATTGATCAAAGCACGGTATTAGAACTGTATATGTGATATGCTACCATTTGTGAAGGAGAAAAAAGTCTGTATATTTTTGACTGAACAGACATAGAATACTTCTAGAAGGCTACACAAAACAACTGGTTTGAAGACAGTTTCTGGGGAGGGGAACTGAGTGGACAGAGGGATATTTCCTTTTTTGTATGGCCTTTGGTATCTTTTAAATTCAGTGTAATACATTGCCTATCGAAACAAAAAATTTCCAAATACTTATTTATAACGGGATTCTATTTTAACGTTGTTGTTGTTGTTGTTGTTATGTGCCGTCGAGTCGGCCCTGACTCATAGCGACCCCTCCTTGGGTTTCCGAGGCAGTATCACTACGGAAGTAGGATTGCCCAAACTTCCTTCCGAGGTGTAGTGGAATAAATAATGTACTGTCCCTTCTACTTCTAGAAATCACCCAAGACACTACAGAGCAGAGAAAGAGAAATGCAAACTCGATTTTGATCACAATGGGAGACACCTGTCAACTCAAATAATAATTCATGTGTTGTTAGATAATTTTTTTGCTGTTAGATCAATTGCAACTCATGGTGACCACACATGTGCAGAGAAGAACTGTACTTCATAGGGTTTTGAAGGCTGTGACCTTTTGGAAGCAGATTTCCAGGCCTCACTTCTGAGACATCTCTGGGTGAGTTTGAACCACTAACCTTTTGGTTAGTAGTCCAGCGCTTAACCATTCAGGATGTCAAAAGCGGCAAAGGTCAATCAGGGTGCAGGAGGATGCTCAGAGGAAGCACTTGAAGCGGTAGATAACAAATTAGCAAAGCGCAGTTCTCTAACGTTGGCATGTCCTGGGGCAAAATCAACTACTCCTCATTGGAACAATGGTCAGAACTTCTTTGGACTCTTTTTTTTTTTTTTTTTTTTTAACAAATAAAGGAACACCCACAGGAAGTAATGCTAAAGGAGGACTCTTTCAGACCCATCATTTTTGGAGGGAGCAGCCTGTCTGTGAGGCAGAATGGGCAAAGAAGCTCAGCCTTGTAAGGAGCCCTTGCTAGCTTAGAATATGATCCCCCAAAAATCTCTTGCAAAAAGCTAAACCAGAAAGAATTTTCCTTCTTTCCTTCTGCTACAGTTCACGCAGGGCCCCTTTTCCGATGAATGATCCGTCCCTCCACCTGTGCACCCTCCTCTCCTGCCGCCTCAGAAATCTGTTGAATATTCTCCCTTTCCTTCTTCCTCTCTCTCTCCAGTTCTCCCAAATCCTCTCCATCAGCATGTGAATATGCTCAAAACAAACAAACAAACAAAAATCTGATAACACAAACAAAACAAAATCTTCCTTCAACTCCACATCCTTCCTAGAGTCATCTTTCTAACTCCTCTGCTTCACACCCAAACTTCTTGAAAAAGTTGTGTATCCACAATACTCTATTTCTGAACTGCTCACTGATTCACCAGCCCATCCAATATGGTCTCCATCCACTCCTGTCTTGCTCAGATCCCCAAAGATTTCCACGTCTAAAGCCTGGGGCTCCTTTGCAGGCTTCATCTTATCTAACCTCTCTGTAGTACTGTCTCTGTTAGACCCTTGCTTCTGCATTGTGTGTTTCTGAGTCTCTTCCTATTTCTAGGCATCTCTTCTCAGCCTTGTCTGTCAGCCCTTCTCTTTTGCTCAGGCATTAAATATTGTAGCTCCTTAGGACTGTGTCCCAAGCTTTCTCCTCTTCTTACTTGATACTCACCCCCCTGTATGATCTTATCCACTTGTATTACTACCGACATTTAGACTTCTTTTAAATATATTTTCCTAGTTTAATCTGGTTTTCTAATTTCTAGACCCAGTTATCATGAAGCCAACTTCCTGCTGGCTATCCTTACCTGGATGTCCCAAAGGCACCTGAAGCACAATGGGATCCAGACTTGATTCATGATCTTCTCTCTCATCTTTCCCCAGTGATGCTTGCTGCCCCCTAAAGTGTTTCATTTAAGAGTAACAACATTTGTCCCCCTAGTTGTTCAAGCCAACTGGCATGGGCACCATTAAATTCTGAATGTTATGCCCTTTAGATAGCTTCTCAAATCCTTCCATTTTCCATCATCACCACTGCTATACCCCAGAGTCCAGGCACTGCCATCTCTCACCTGGTTTCCTCCTAACTGGTTTCTGTGCCAGCACTCTTCCCCTCCTAATTCCATTCTCCACAAGCATTCAGAGTAACCTTTCTAAAATGCAACTGCAGCTCCCCTGCCTCCAATCCTTTAATGGTACCTCACTAATCTTAGGACGAAGCCCAAAGTCCTTAATATGGGCTATAAGCTTCTGGGGATCTGGCCCCCACCCATCTCTCTAGTTTTATTTTGAGCCCCTCTCCTCCTTTCTTTCTATGCCCCAGGCACATAAGACTTTTTCTTCAAATGCTATGCTGTCTTTGGCTTCAGGGTCTTTGTTGTCCTTTTTGCCTGGAATACATCCCTGGCCCCAGATGAAAATTAACTACATTTCCTTTAGCACCCTGCACTTCTCCTGCAAGATACTCAGCAGCCTGGTAATAAACCTGCGCCACGTCCGTCTTTCCCGTTAAGCATGAGGACAGAGACTTGGCTGTGTTCACTGCTGTGTTCCTGCTTCTGGTTTTCTTGTTTGGGCAACTGTCAAATCTTAGTTTGTATGCCAGACACTGGTGATACCCTGAGATTAGTGAATTTGCAAGCTCTTATTGGCTCAGGTCAAACTTTTCCAGTTTCCGAAAGAGCTAGCTTTTGTAAATCCTATCAAGGCTCTGATAACATCAAGCATCCTTTATCCTATGGGAGTACAGGGTGTGATGTTCAAGCAGAGAAGATCACAGTGGGCTGGTCATCTGCCCTGTGTTCAGAAAACATTGCCTCTTTGACCTAAGTTTTTTTTTTTTTTTTTACCCACCCATTGTTTTTACTCATTGTCTTTCTTCCTTTCCTAGTCTCCTAGTATCTTCCTTGAGGGTAAAGTGTGTCCTGCTCCAAAATACTCTCTTCCTATTTATCAGTTCAATTCATTGTAAATTAGTGTCCCTCCCCTTCCCCAGTATCATCACTGTACATAACATTCATTCAATAACTATTTGTTGAGTTCCTACTATGTGCCACATACTGCTCTTCTTGGTACTAGAGATGTAATAGCGAGCAAAACAGACACATCTACGCCCTCATGGAATTGATAGTCAAGTGAATAACAATCACCAACATCTATTGAGTACTTACTAGGTGACAGCTCTGGTTCTAACTTGTTCTTACTCACTTAATCATCACAAACTGCTGCAAGATTAGTATATTTTCACTATTTTGCAGTGAGAAAACTGAGGCACAGAGCAGTTCATGGATCCCAAAGGTCACACAGATTACCGTAAGTGACAGAGCCAGGACACACACTCAGGCAGTTTGGCTCCAGAGCCTGTTCTCTTAACCATTACCCTCTATTGCCTTTCATCCACCTCAAGAGCTGCTTTGGTCTAATCCAAATTGTAATGTGTTTAGGACACACAGTTTGATCATTCCTGTCTCATTCCTGCAAAATACTTGCATTTTCTGGTCTTCTGTCTGGAACTTTCTCCCCTTGGCTGTCACATGCCTGATTCAGATTTTTGGTCTTCTTAGAGAGGCTGGCTTTCCACAATCTAAGATAGTCCTTTCCTCACACCCTCTCACGCTCCATTTCCTTTCTTATTTTTTTCCTCCTAGTTTTTAACACTCCCTGAATATCTATTTGTGTTTATCATCTGTATCACCCCTCTCCCCCTAGAATGCAGATTCCATGAAAGATTTATTTCCTAATCACCACTGAATTTCCAGCACCTGGAATAGTACCAGACATTCAACAAATGTTTGTTGGTGGAATAAATAAAATAAGAGAGTAGGAGAAATTGGGGAACAAATGAAATATCAAGCTGATGGATTTATAACAAAATGACTAATAACAAAAAGAGTTTCTAAGCAACCTACTTGGTTAAGAAAAAATCAACATTATTAAATGCTATACAGTCATGAAAAATGTTAGAAGTGCAGACATACTTACAATAATTAAATAATTAACAGTGAGGAAAAATAACATAAGAGAATCTATACCCACTGTTGTTACTGGAATGGGTACCCATTTCTTAAAACACAAACACAGATGTGCAAAAAATGTAACTTCGAGAGATCCCTCCTTCCATCACTGAACTTAATTTATACTTCAAGCCCCAAACCTGGGGCTTTGTTTGGGTTAATTCAGTGTCTGCTACCACTTCATTAACTGAGGTTATGTTTGAGTTCTGGGGGGGCGCCACAATGAGGGAGGGTAGAGCTGGTCCTTAGTCATTGACAACTATATTTTACGTAGTCATCATAGTTTCTGTGTTGTCTCTGAGAGTCCTCAGATGTGGTTGTTCTCTTTTTGCCTTTCTAGATCTGGTTCTCTCTCATCTCCATCCATAGCCTTCAGTAGGAATGAGGCCATCTTTCAGGTACTCTCCAACACTCTGGGGCCACTGGACTCTTTGAGGCTGCCTTAGGCCTCTCTACAGGCACATTACCAGCCAGTTCTACTCTACATTTCTAGGCTGTGCTGGGCATGTGAGCCTCCCTCTAAGCCCAGCTTCATATAGAAAGTAAGGCACAGATCAGATCTATTTTCAAATCCTCCAAATGTTATTTGGGTTGCTGTTTTTCACCATGACCTCACCCACCCAGCATTAAGATCCATCCCAGGGCTGGAAGGAGAGCACACAGGGCCACACACCAACATCCAAACTCCCTTCTCCCTCCTTCAGTTCAGGACATTCTTAATTTCTTTAGGGACGATGAATAACAGGATCTGACTGAGGCCATATTCTCCTCCCACTGAGGAAAATAAAGGCTGCATCAGGAGAGAAAGACTCAGCCATACTCTTGTAGCCCATATTAGACAGGACAGAGAGCCATGACTCAGTGCCTCTCTCTTTTTCTACCTACTGGCTTTGTGGAAGCACCTAGAATTGGAAGCTTCCCTGGGAAAATTGAGTGGAGCCTCCATTTGATTAACAGAAACCCTGAATTGACAAGGATGCTCTTAAATTGACTGACATTAGTCTTCTAACATTTTGCATAATGGGGCTCAAGACAGAAATTAAATTTTTTTAAAAAATGGAAAATCAAATATACTTAAATTTCTGGCATACCTGCATGGCAGCTTGTAATTCTCTGGTGTCTGGCAGATCATTTTAAAAAAATCTAGTTATGTGTACATATGAATCAGATGTTAATTTAAAGATGAACTGAACTAAACCAAAACCAAACTCACCACCTTTGAGTCACTTCCGACTCCTAGTGACCCCTCCTTGGGTATCTGAGGCAGGTATCTCTACGGAAGTAGATTGGCCAACCTTCCTTCTGTGAACTGAATTCATTCATTGAATTCTTATTTTTGAAAATTTATCAACATGAAAAACAAACCATTGATAAAGGGTAATGGGCAAGCGCATAAGATGGAGGAGTAATTAGGATCCTAGGACTCCAGAGATGGGTACCATTTGATACAAGCTTTGGGCATCCCCTCTGCTGCTCACACAGAGACTCATCACAGCAGGGTGGACGTTTCAATGAACAGTACTTACCTTCGAGGACAGAGGTCATGACACTGACAACACTCATTGCCCTTTGGATTCGAAAAGGTTCATTCAAGTATTCTGCTGACAAGAAATTCTTCTGCCCTGTGTCGAGTGCCTGCTGAGGTACAAACGTGGAGTCAGGACATGCCCCCAGCATGACATATGGATCATTCAGCCTCTAATTGGCCAGTCTCAGTGAAGCAATTATCTTCTGCAGTCATGCTTAGAAATACAGGGCTGGTGTTCAGGATACACATTTGAAGTGGAATTAGAACTCAGACTGGCTGTGAACCAAGTGGCCTGGGCTCACATGAGGTTCTAGAAACTGCTGTCCTATGACAGGACCTGGGTACCAGAGTGGGGATGGGATGGCCTCAAGGGTATCTGAGAGCCTCAGGGACAGTGGGTCAAACAGTCATACGACACTTCCTCTAAGCAGTGCATATGACTTCTATATAGAATTCCTACTCCACAATATGCTTTCCCAACTTCCTTTCTAATAGATTCATTTCCCTCTCCAATATACAAGTCTGTGTTCCTTCAGTAGAGAACATTTATGTTTCTTGATTATCCAGTTGTTAATTGCCTAAGTATTTAAAAATCTCTCATATGTCTGGGACATGAGACAGTGTCCTGTCCTCTTTTAGCCCTTTCCTCTTTGGAAATTCATTGAAAGTTCCCTCTGGGGACTATGCCATGTCCCTAACTCTAGCCATATACTTCTTCAGGACTTGGGGACTCTGGGGCCCACAAAAGCTGATTCAGGACTGCACATTCAGGGTCTAAATTCAATAAGCATATATTGAAGTTCATAGATATGTTGTTGTTAGGTGCTGTCACGTTGGCTCCGACTCACAGTGACCCTATGTTTGAAACTGAGTAAAGTGTTCCCCAAAAATGTGGAACAGTATCTATTCTATGGGGGAATTGAAATTGAGTAAAGTGAAAACTATTTTCTCCACCCTGGTACCTGGATGAAAATAGATAAGTAAACTAAATTACCCCCAACTATTTCCCCACCCTGGACAGATGAGTATTTAGTTCCTTAAAGAACTGAATTGAAAATATTCTTTCCTGCAGGTGATAGACATGATAAAAGTGTCTTAGAAACAACTCATAAATTAACTCTGACTCCAGACATGGCAATAGGGCAGAAAGGAACAAAAGTTAATCACCGACCCTCTCCCCTCTGCCCATGCCTATCAGCTGATGACAGAAAGCTGGTGTGACTCACCCAATTCCTCAAGCTTTTGTGAATATGCACAACCCCCTCTCCTGAAGCCTACAAAAACTGTATTTCAATGGCATCTCGGGGAGCCTGATCTGGGTACCAGGATACCCTTACTCCTTGTATTGCCACTTTGCTATAAATAATTTTCTCTCCTCAATCTCAGCGTGTAAACTGTTTTGGCCTGACTGCGCACCAGGCAGGGACGTGTGTTTGATCCTATAACATGTTCAACAAAATGAAACATTGCCCTATCCTGCATCATTCTCACAAGCACTGCTAGGCTCGAGCTCATTGTTGCAGCCACTGTATCAATCCATCTTGTTGAGAGTCTTCTTCACTGACCCTCTACTTTACCAAGAATGATAGCCTTCTCCAAGGACTGTTCCCTTCTGACAACCTGACCAAAGTAGGTGAAATGAAGTCTGGCCATCCTTGCTTCTAAGGAGCATTCTGGCTGAGCTTCCTCCAGGACAGATTTGTTCAAGTTCTTCTGGCAGTCCATGGTATTTTCAGTATTCTTCAGCAACACCACAATTCAAAGGCATCAGTTCTTCTTTGGTCTTCCTTATTCATTGTCCAGCTTTCACGTGCATATGAGGCAATTGAAATACCATGGCTTGGGTCAAGCACACCTTAGTTTTCAAAGTGACGTCTTTGGTCCTTAACACTTTAAAGAGGTCTTTTGCTGCAGATTTGCCCAGTGCAATATGTCGTCTCATTTCTTGATTGCTGCTTCTATGGGAGTTGATTGTGGATCCAAGTGAAATGAAATTCCTGCCAACCTCAATCTCTTCTCCATTTATGGTGATGCTGCTTATTGGTCCAGTTGTGAGGATTTTTGTTTTCTTTATGTTGAGGTATAATCCATACTGAAGACTGTAGTCTTTGATCTTTATCAGTAAGTAGTTCAAGTAATCTTCACTTTCAGCAAGCAAGGTTGTGTCATCTGCATACTGCAGGCTGTTAATGCATCTTCCTCCAATCCTGATGCTGTGTTCTTCTTCATTTAGTCCTTCTTGGATTATTTGCTCAACATACAGATTGAATGAGTGTGGTGAAAGGATACAACCGACTCACACCTTTCCTAATTTTAAACCATGCAGTATTCCCTTGTTCTGTTTGAATGACGGCTGCTTGATCTATGTACATATTCTTCATGAGCACAGTTAAGTGTTCTGAATTCTCATTTTTCACAATGTTATCCATAATTTGTTATTATCTACACAGTAAAATGCCTTTGTATAGTTAATAATACACAGGTAAATATCTTTATAATGTTCTTTGCTTTCAGCCAAGATCCATCTAACATTAGCAATGATATCCCTTGTTCCACGTCTTTTCTGAAACCAGCTTGCATCTCTGGAAGCTCTCTATCAATATACTGCTGTATTCATTTTTGAATTATATTCAGCAAAATTTTACTTGCATGTGACATTAATGATATTATTTGATAATTTCCGCATTCTATTGGATCACTTTTCTTTGGAATGGGCACAAATATGGATCTCTTCCAGTCAGTTGTCCAGGTAGCTGTCTTCCAAATTTCTTGGCATAAATGAGTAAGTGCCTCCAGTGCTGCACCCATTTGGTGAAACATTTCAGTGGGTATTCTGTCAATTCCTGAAGGCTTGTTTTTCACCAATTCCTTCAGTGCAGCTTGGACTTCTTCCTTCAATACCTTTGTTTTTCATCATATGCTACCTCAAAAAATGGCTGAATGTCAACCAATTAGTTTTGTACAGTATTCCTTCCATCTTCTTTTGATGCTTCATGCAATGTTCAATATTTTGCCCAAAGAATACTTCAATATTGCAATATGAGGCTTGAATTTTTACTTCGGATCTTTCAGCTTATGAAACGCTGAAGGTGTTCCTCCCTTTTGGTTTTCTGACTCCAGGTCTTCACACATTTCATTTTAATATTTTACTTCATCTTCTCAAGCTGCCCTTTGAAATCTTCTCTTCAGCTCTCTCTTTTTTTTTAATACATTTTATTGAAATATAATTTATGTGCAGTGAAATATACAAAACTAAAGTGACATGGGTCAATGCATTTTTTTTTGCAGTGTTCCGTTCAACTCTTTCATTTCATCATTTCTTCCATTTGCTTTAACTACTCTCTTTTCAAAAGCAAGTTCCAGACTTTCTTCTGACATCCACTTTGGTCTTTCCTTCCTTTCCTGTCTTTTTAATGACCTTTTGCTTTCTTCATGGATGATGATCTTGGTGTCATCCCACAACTCTCAAGTCTTCAGTCATTGGTGTTCAATACATCAAATCTATTCTTTAGATGGTCTCTAAATTCAGGAAAGATATAATCAAGGTCATAGTTTAGCTCTTGTGGACTTGTTTTAAATTTCTTCAGCTTCAACTTGAACTTGCACATGCTCAGTTGATGGTCTGCTCCACAGTCAGCTCTTGGCCTTGTTTTGATTGATGATAGTGAGCTTCTTAATCAGCTCTTTCCACAGATGTAGTTGATTTGATTCCTGTGTTTTTCAACTAGTGAGGTCCATATATTTAGTCACTATTTATGTTGTTGAAAAAAGGTATTTGCAATGAATAAGTCATTGATCTTGCAGAATTCTATCATTGATTTCTGGCATCATTTCTATCACCAAGGCCATATTTTCCAACTACCAAAGCTTCTTTGTTTCCAACATTCACATTCCAATCACCAGTAATTATCAGTAGATAATGATTGCATGTTTGATCAATTCCAGACTACTGAAGTTGGTAAAAATCTCTAATGTTTTCATCATTGGCTTTAGCGGTTGGTGTGTAAGTTTGAATAATAGTCACAACTGGTCTTCCTTGTAGGCATATGGATATTATCCTATCACTGGCATCATTGTATTTCAGGATAGATCTTGAAATGTTCTTTTTGGTGATGAATGCAATACCATCCCTCTTCTATTTATCATTCCCAGCACAGTAGACCCATATGATTTTCTGATTCAAAATGGCCAATCCCAATCCATTTCAGCTGATGAATGCCTAGGATATCAATGTTTACATATTCTATTTCATTTTTGACAACTTCCAATTCTCCTAGATTCATACTTCATACATTCCACATTCTGATTATTAATGAATGTTTGCAGCTGTTTTTTTCCCATTTTGAGTCATGCCCTATCAGCAAATGAAGGTCCCAAAAGCTTCACTCCATCTGCATCATTAAGGTCAACTCTACTTTGAGGAAGCAGCTCTTCTCCAGTCATATTTTGAGTGACTTTCAACTTGAAGCTTCACCTTCCAGCTACATCTATGTTTCACTGCTATTTATAAAGTTTTCAGTGGCCAATGACCCCACCCTTCTTTCCAGTCTGTCTTAGTCTGGAAGCTCTGCTGAAACCTGTCCACCATGGGTAACCTTGCTGGTACTTGAAATACCAGTGGCATAGCTTCCAGCCTCATAGCACCACACAAGTCACCGTAGTATAACAAACTGACAGATGAGTGGTGGTAATAACTTGTTGTTGTTGTTGTTTGCCGTCGAGTTGGCCCCAACTCATAGCAACCCCTCCTTGGGTTTCTGAGGCAGTATCACTATGGAAGTAGGATTGCCCACCTTCCTTCTGAGGAGTGGCTGGTGGGTTTGAACCGCCAGCCCTCTGGTGAGCAGTCAAGTACCTTAGGCACTATGCTACCAGAGCGTCTGGTAATAACTATAAAAGCATTTTAAAAGTTTCCAATCATGAGGACTCAAGAAATGATGCTAGTAGCTATTATTTATCATTTTTGTCAGACATGCATGTATAAATGTAGGTGGTCTGATAGTGTAGTGGCTAAGGCATTCAGCTACTAACCAAAAGGTGTATGGTTTGGGCTCACCAGCCTTCCATGAGAGAAAGATGAGGCAGTCTGTTTTCATAAAGATTTATA